GCGAAGCCTTTTCATTTCTTGATATGAATAGAGATTTTAAGGCAAATTAGGCCTCAGTTCCAATGTCAGGGTTATCTGAGTGATTGAAATAATTTTCTAATGGAGAGTCACCTGTGGATTAAAACAAGTAGACAGAATAATACTTTCAACTCTATAATTCAAAAAATATTTGGAGTATTAGCATTTGAGTCAGTGACAACTCTAAATGACATTTGAATTTTTATGTTCTCTTGAAATCAGGTTGCCTTGGGAGAGTTATAATAATTTGCTCTCTATGAGACGCATACTCAAAAGTAGCTTCCTTGTTTGTGTGTACATATACTGAGATGATTTCATAAACTCAACATATTTGCTATTTTGAAACAATGTGGCATAGATACATTTATCACTAAGATGTTATACAACATGCTGTGTTTGTGCTTAAGAATAGTAACCAACTGTCAGTCAATTCCTTTGAGAATGCCACAGGAAAGAAAAAAGGCGTTCTTTTTATATACTGAACTACATATCTGGCAGAAGTTATATGTATAGTTTAAAAAATGAGTGCAATTACTCTCCTTCTAATTTCTCTGCCACGGACTCTTTCTAAATGAATTGAACGTTCATCATGTAAAAGACTTTGAACAAACCCGCGGTGCTGACCTGCCTTTGTGCTGCCTTTCTTCCTGCTTCTACTACATAAGCTTTCTCTTTCCTTCTACAAAGTATCAAACTGCTCTGTGCCATGAAAAATTTGCATATGAAGAGTCCTCAGATTTGCTACTTAAAAGCTGACTCATACATCCATTAAACAAAGAAAAGTGTTCGAACCATTTTCTTAAAAAAAGAGATTTCAGAATTCTAAACCAGGTTAGGTTCATCCCTTTCATTCTATAAAAGTAACTTTAATGTAGATTAAATCCATATTTAATTTATTCACCTATCCATAGAATCCTATTTTACTATATAGGTATTACGTTAAGCAGAAGAAATAGAGGAGATATCAAAGTACAACTATCATAGTACACTACTAATTCTATAGACGAAAAATGCAAAAGTGTGAGTATTTGCTTTTTTAATAAAAAAAAAGGTAGGGAATAGCTAAACCACTCTAAGAAATGTGAAATTTTGGAGCTTCTACTTGAAGGTTGACTAAATTTAGAAAACAACCATAAGAATGGAGGATAAGAAAGGAGGATGAGGAATAACATATGCACAAACTCTTTTGTGAAATTTCTTTCATATAAAGTTCAGCACAAGAGCAGAGATTAGTGTTGCTACAATGCTGAGAATAGAGAAAAAGGCACAGGTTCTCTCTTCTTCAGTGTTGCTTGTGACTCCATTGTACTCATTTAAGTCTATATTTCAGACACTCCAGGCAACTCCTAGAGTTTCTCTGAGGCTAGGTGATTTTCGTTTTCTTAAGACCATAAATTCTGCCCCAGCTCTGGGGCTTGTCAGAGACAAAGAGATAACAAAGGCAATACCTGGGTATGTGGTGAAATATGTGACTAAATGGTCTTAAATAAAAAAGATAGTTCCCACCAGTCCAAATGAAAATTTAAGAAGTTAACCTTATCTTGCAACACAAATAGGCCCTAAATTAACAAGGTATCTCTGGGACACCAATGAGAATTCTTTGATAATTTGATAAGTAACACAAAGGTCTAGTTTCCTATAAAAGAAAAACCCACAAAACCAGCCATAATTGATCTTATACTAAATTTCTTCCCTGCTGGGGAGTTTCTTTCTCTTCAGTTTTCTAATAAGCTTAGTCTTTATTACTCAGTATTTTCATTCTTGAAAATGAAAGACCCTGGGAAACTGTAAACAAAAAGAGTCCCACTGTCACCACTCTTGTATTAATAAGAGAAATAGGAAAAGGTGGATTTGAAATGTGAGTCAAGAAGTAAAATATTTTGGTATTAGGGAGATCAGCACCATCGACCATATCCACACGATAACCAAGCTCATTGAGGTTTCTCGGGAGTTCAAGATGCCGCTCTGCTTAACGTTCATTGATTTAAAGAAGGCCTTTGATTCTGTTGAGACGGAAACGGTCATTGAAGCCCTAGCCAATCAGGGCATTCAAGCCCAATACATCAGGATCCTCCGTGAGCTGTATTGCGGATTCACTACCAGGATCTCACCATTCTACAAAGAAGTGATCGTTGATGTCAAGAGAGGGGTGCGGCAGGGTGATACCATTTCACCGAAACTCTTCAGTGCCACCCTCGAGAACATCATGCGACGACTGGAATGGGAAGGAATGGGAGTGAAGATAGATGGTCGGCAACTACACCACCTCCGCTTTGCTGATGACATTGTTTTAATAACACCAAACATCAGCCAAGTGGCACAAATGCTGGCCGACTTTGACCGTGAGTGTGGAAAGGTAGGACTACAGCTGAATCTTACGAAGACAATGTTTATGAGAAACAGCCTTGTTCCTGACGCCCCATTTGCTCTCAATGGAACGACCATCTCCGAATGCAACAGTTATGTGTACCTAGGTCGAGATGTCAACATGACAAATGACCTGGCACCCGAGCTGCGCAGGAGGAAGAGAGCGGCTTGGAACGCCTTCAAGAACGTCGAAGAAATAGCTAAGAGGACGAAGAACCTCCGGCTCTGGGCACATCTTTTTGATTCCACTGTTCTTCCTGCATTAACATATGCCTCAGAGACCTGGGCCCTACGCAAACAAGATGAGAACACCATTCAGGTCTCCCAAAGAAGAATAGAAAGAGCTATGCTTGGAATATCATGTTTCACTCAAATGAGAGAACGAATCGGGAGTTCTGACATCCGTCGACGATCAAGGATCAGGGACGCTGTCTCATTTGCCAAGGTGTCGAAAATCAGATGGGCTGGTCACGTAATGAGATTTAAAGACAACCGTTGGACTAGAGCTGTTACTGATTGGATTCCACGGGATGTCAAGAGACCGCGTGGCCGCCCACCTACCAGATGGTCAGACTTCTTTGTCAAGATCATGAACGATCAGTTTGAGGCCCTTCATGTTCCCGGAGCGAACAGATGCCATTGGGCTACACTAGCACGCGACAGGGACAAATGGAGACGTTACTGGCGCCCGCTAACGGGAAGTTAAGTGATTAAGTGATTAAGGGAGATAAACTGGAGCCATAGTACAGCAGATGGGGCGCTTGCCTTGCATGCAGCCAGCCCTGCCAATGGGGTTCGATTTCCCTGCTCCTCTCTGAGAGCCCTGCAAGATACCAAGAGTATCTTGCCTGCAGGGCAAAGTCCTGGAAGCTATCCGTGACATATTCAATATGCCAAACACAGTAACAAGAAATCTCACACTGGGTCCACTCGAGCAAATGGATGAACATAGGAGGACAGTGCTACAGTGCTACAGGGAGATAGTTGAGAGAACTGGAATACATGTCTGAATGCACAGAACTCTTGGTTTGACCTCTTATACCATGTGACCATGTGATGAAAAACACTTCCTGCTGTCCTGGAGATACCTAGAACTGTTGGGAAACACCAAACACTCAAGAATAAAATAATCTAAAAATGACTTTCCATTGTTCTCTATATTTAAACATTCATATCTATGATTTAAATTTGTTTCTTCATCCACTAAACTTTAAGTATTTAATTATTTTCATCTTTTAACAAAATAAAACCCAATGATTATATTGAAAAAAATATTCTTTTTATCTCATTCTAGAAGTTTTTAGCACAATATGCTAATTGCCATCGTTATATGATACACTTTGATAATTATCCTCGTCTTATTTTACTATTTAATTTCAAAGTAAAATTTAAGTATGATTTATTAAAATTGGCTTATAAATAGTGCCCCTCTTCCTTTCCTATAAAATGTTGCCTATAGTTTTAGAGGTACATTTATATCATTCAATACATGGCTTCTAATTTAAAAACTGTAAATCTTTTTTCATATGTCTTATCTTCCAAAGATTTTTATTTCCATAAGAGTATTGCTAGGTATTATACTAAAATTCAGTTAATAGTTCTGAATTTGTAAATCAAGTTATTTTAAAGATTTTGGGGGGTAAAGGGGTAGTTTTGCACAGGGCTTATTCTTTGTCTCTTGTGGTGCACAAGGAATCAAACTACTTGCAGTATATCAAGGATCACATAAGGGTCAGACCCAAGAAAGGCAAGTATCTTAAACCCTGTATTCTCTCTGACCCATTTATATACATGTATATAAATATATATATATAAATCATTCATTTATTTATGAATGATTTATAGTCAATGAATGATTTGTATATATGTATATATAAATATAAATTTATATATAAATATATTAACAATTCATTGTTACAAAAATTGAAGATACTTTTTTTTTTAATTAGTGAGACACCATGAGGTACAGTTGTAGACTTACAAACTTTCGTGTTTGGGTTTCAGTTATACAATGATTAAGTACCCATCCCTCCACCAGTGCCCATTCTCCACCACCAATGAACCCAGTTGCCTTCCCACCCCCCCAATACCCCCCACCCCGCCCCACCTCTATGGAAGGGCATTCCCTTTTGCTCTCTCTTTTCTTTAGGGTGTTGTGGTTTGCAATAGAGATATTGAGTGGCCATTGCGTTTGGTCTATAGTCTACTTTCAGCACATGTCTCACATCTCGAGCAAGTCCTCCAAACACCCTTTACTTGGTGTTCCCTTCTCTATCCGAGCTGCAAAAATTGAACACACTTTAATTATGTTTAAAAATTCTTCTATTAAGTGATAGGGCTGGAGCGATAGCACAGCGGTAGGGCGTTCGCCTTACAAGCGGCCAACATGGCCGATCCGAGTTCGATTCCTCCGCCCCTCTCGGAGAGCCCGGTAAGCTACCGAGAGTATTCGATATGCCAAACACAGTAACAACAAAGTCTCTAATGGAGACGTTAGTGGGCCCGCTCGAGCAAATCAATGATCAACGGGAGGACCTTTACCTTTACCTACCTATTAAGTGATGTCTGCTTACTGTCCATCATTTTAATCTACACTTATCGTATCTATTACTTACTGTACTACCGGGTGGCGTAATCTTCTAGAGCTTTCTTTGATGTCATATATATATGGAGTCCTCAAATAAAAGATGAGATATATTAGCAGTGGTCCAGTGTACTCAGTCAAAAATACCTGAAAACAATAAAGCAATTTAGAATAATAGTAAAGTTGTATTGATCATGTTAAGATTTAAATATGACCATAAAATATACATATTCTAAACTTTCTATAGAAACTTGTAAATAAACAGGTATGCATCTATTATTCTGAAGAATCAGAATACATGATAATTTTAAAACATTGGGGCTAGAGTGATAGAACAGCCAGTAGGGCATTTGCCTTGCATGCAGCCGACCTGGGTTTGATTCCTCAGTCCCTCTCGGAGGGCATGGCAACTTACTGAGAGTATCTCGCCTGCAAGGCAAAGCCTGTCAAGCTCCCATGATGTATTCGATATGCCAAAAACAGCAGCAACAAGTCTCACAATTTGTTGTGAGACATTACTAGTGCCTTCTCAAGCAAATTGATGACCAACGGGAGGACAGTGCTACAGTGCTACAGTGTTCATATTAAAATATTTGGACATGACTGCTGAACTAGGGCCATTACCGAATGGATTCTACAGGACTTCAAAAGAACGCCTGGCCACCCACTTATGAGATGATCAGACATCTTTGTCACGACCCTGAAGGAATAGTTTGAGGTTCTTCGTGTTCCTGGAGTGAGCAGACACCAGTGAGCTACACTAGCACTCCACAGGGATGAATGGAGATGTTACTGGTGCACACTTGAGCAAATCGAAGAGCAACAGGATGAAAAGTGAACAAGAGATATTAAAATAAAGGGGTCTAAAATAGTACTCACACATGAAAGGTATATCCTGACCTGGAAGTACCAGAGAATAATAAATACCTTTTGGACAATGCATCTTTTCTTTGGGGGGTTGGGGGGACAGATAGAAGGCACAAGAAGAGATGTTTTACTAAACATAAAGCATCATCAGAATATAATTTAAAAATAAAGCCTTTCAAGAAACATAAATACATATTAATGAGGTGAGCTACTAAAAAGTGAATTGGGTTTTACTAAAGAAAGAGAACAATATAATCCAAAATGAAAATAAATAAGTAACATTTATTTCCAGTTAAAAATCTAGAAAGTCAAAAACTTGTAAAGTCACTATATCTACTATGTAAAGATTTTAAGATTTTATAGAACTTCTAGAGGTGGGAAGATCGCACAATAGATAAGGCACTTGCCTTGTACACGGCCAAACAGTGCTTGATCCCCAACATGGCATACGTTCTCTGGAACACTGGCAAAACTGATCCCTAAGTGCAGAGCCATGAGTAAGCTCTGAGCAACACAACACGTCGCCCCCCCCCCCCCCACACAAGAAGAAAAAAGATTTTATAGAACTATGCAACACTTTACTTGGTTTAGATGATATAGGTTTTGTAAATTGAAAAGTAAAGATACCAACACCCTGTTTTTAGAAAATTTAAATGATAATATGACTAAAATAGCTGCCGACTGATTAGAACCTTTGTGCATAGCTTATACTTAATGAATTCCTCTTCTTTTAAAAAATAAATCATTTAATCCTATTACTTGGTGTTGTAATTACTTGTTTTCTAAAGTTGCAATTGACAATTGAAAATAAAATGCATTGCGTATTTCACAGTTACAAAAATGGTGAGAAGTGCAAACTTTAATCTTCTAAAGATAAGAGAGTTTCTAAATAAATTCATGAAAGCGTTTCAAATAATATAACTTTTTTTCCCCCACTGAGTTCTATTGAAACTAAAGAAACTAAATGAAGTTTTTTTTTTAGTTTTAGTTAAACCATTATGTGAGTGAAATAATGACATATAATGGAGAATTCTATTAAGGTTTATACAAAAAAACTATCCTAATGAGGCCAGTGAGAAAAACTGGTAAAATTGCTTTTCAGACTTCAGCAAGGTTCTGAATCATTGAGGAATGAAAAAAGTAAGATTGAGCCAAATTGTTTTACAGGCATCAGCAAGGTTTTGTGTTGTTGAGAAATGAAAAACTAACACTGGATCAGAGAATATAGTAGAATACATGTCTGCCACAGTCAGAAGAAGCCCAGGGCATCTCTAGGTGTTCCCTAAGTTTCCCCGCTCAATAAATAAATAAATAAAATAAAATAAAATAAAAGGAAAAGACAAATATTTTCACAAATTTTTCTCTTTTTTAAAGAAAAAAATGAATTTTGCAGTCTTTGACTTGCTTCTAGTTCTACATGCAGGGGACTAAATGGGTGATGTTCAAGATTTTTAAAAAGAGGCTCCAAGTTTTATTTAAATCTGAGAGATATAGCCTTATGAAAGCTTGAGAGCTCCTGAGAATGGAAGGGAAAAAATGATGATTTGTCAACCTTCATGTATTGTTGGAGCTTTTAAAACATCTGAGATAGGTTAGAACTTAAAATAGTTATACCTAGGTGTGATGATAAAGCAGAAATATATTTGTATTCATAGATACTGAAATTCAGCCTGTAATCATTTAAATTTTTGATTATATAAGGTAACCTGAATACAGTAATGCCATGAGTTATCCCTCTAAAAATTGATACATGCTATTTCAGAAAAAATTCCTAGGATATTTGTTTGTTTTTTCAAAGAAATGATTTTGCACCTGGTCACACATATGCAGGAACATTAAGAAAGAATCTGTTGTGAGTGAAGTTACTGACCAAATCAAAGAGAAACTGCAAAGTTTCAAAACAGATGAAATAAAGAGTCTCAAAAAATGATAAGCACATAGCGTAGGATGCACAGTACACAAATTAACGTGCTTTCCTTGCATGTAGCCTTCCCCGTTTAACCCCTGGTACTACATATGGTTCCTTATCTCTGTCAGGAGTGAACATTAAGCAAAAAGCCAAAATTCCTGATCACTGCAAGCTGTGGTCCAAATTCAACACACATACACATACATACAACCACCACAACCACTAACAGCAATTTTTGCTTGTTCAAAGAAATAAGATCAATAAATTCAGCAATATTTGAAAACTCAGAAAAGAAAACAATATGAAATTTTTTAAATCTACAAATAGCAACTCCAGAAAGAAAATACAAAAGAAAATAATAATCAAAAGGTGGAATGAATATAATATTTTCGAAATAAAAATATATAATAGGTTTGCTCTTCAAGCTATGTTCTCCTTTGAACATGCATTCTCACTTGTGTGTACCTCTGCTTGCTTTTTCCACTCTGGAGAAGCCTGTGTTCTCCCTTGTATATTTCTTCTCTCTCCTCACATCTTTCAAAGTTTCTGTAAAAATTATCTTGTTTACACACAAACTAAGACACACACACATACACATACAGACACACACTATAATAATAGTCAAAAATAAAAGAAATAATAGACTGATAATATTGTAAACATTAAGCAAGATAGCTCATAGTACTATAGCACTGTCTTCCCATTGTGCATTGATTTGATTGAGTGGGCACCAGTAACGTTTCCATTGTGAGACTTATTGTTACTGTTTTTGTCATATCGATTATTCCACAGGTAGCTTGCCAGGCTCTGCCGTACAGGCAGGATACTCTCGGTAGCTTGTCGGGCTCTCCGAGACGAATTGAACCTCTATCAGCTGTGTTACTGCTCCAGCCCAGTCTGAACTCCAGAACCTGGCCCAAGATAGATCATAATTATAAAAATGTGCAAACTTCTACTAATAAAAAAATAGGATATTGACAATTGATGGTTTGTAGTGGAAGCATTGTATACCTAAAACATAAACATAAACTCTTATCATTGGTTTCCTAAATAATAAAAAAAAAAACCACCTTTAATCTGAGAATAGACATTTTAATTTACATTGGTTTAAGGAAAAGAATTTTTGTATGTTTGTTTGTTTGTCTTTTCCAGCCATAGTCAGTGGTACTCAGAGCTTACCCTTGAGTGATTACTCTTAAGTACCAGGGTTTGAAGCCAGGTTAACCATATGCAAGGGAAATGGTGTATCCTCTATACTATCTCTCTGGCTTGGGTTTAAAGAAGATTTATGAGGGCAATAATACAATTTTGTAATGTGAAATTAAAAATAATTGTCAACATGGTATTTTTCTGCCAAAGAATTCTCTAGGAATAAAAGTTAAATACATTTGAAAACATACAGAAACTGAGAAAATTCATCATTGGAACAGTTATGTAGGAACTAAATGTTCAGTTACATGACACTCAATGACATGATAAAACCTTAACTTTAGAAGAAAAATATATAAAATAACTAAATAAATATATTTATAATTTTGTGTATTATAGTGTATTTTTATACAAGAAACATAATATGAGGAACAAATAATAGACTGATAATATTATAAACATTAAGCATGATAGATTATAATCTTGCTTTTTCCACTCTGGAGAACCCTGTGTTCTCCCTTGAACACATATTATAATGACATTAAACAATTTATTAAATAACTCCACATCAATAAATGTAAAAAATTTCCTATTATTTAATATTTTAAAGATGCACATTCTAGCATCATGGATAATTGCTAGCGATACCATAATGGTAAAAGCAATAGAGAAGATAATGGAAAAAAAAGTATAGAAATTTATGATGGGGCAGAAAATTAGTGAGCACAGGCAAATTGAAACAAAAAAAACCCAAAAAGGGTAAAAAATGGACAAAAATAAATCGTGTTATGTAAAACTTAAAAACCACTGACAAAGTAAAAGTCCTCTCTGACCTAAACCTAGTGTTAGGTGATAGGTTTTAATATAAGAGAGTGAAAGCAATATGTTTAAAAGAAAACATTGATAGCTCACGCAAAATTATTTTTAATTTCATCTAAGAAATATCCTTTTTAAAAAATTAAAAATTAAAAATTAGTTCAGAGAGCTAGTTCTGTGGGCTGGGGAAATTATTGTATGTATGAAACCAAAATTCAGCTCCTGATGCTGCATTGTCTCTTGGGCTGACTCCTGACTCCAGCAACTCAACTTCTGAGGACAGCTAGGCTTCTCCCCCTCATTCTCGTTCCAAAGAGAATAAAAAATTAAAAAAAAAATGTTACATACACACAAACTAACATAAGAACAAACCCACAAATCACATGTAAAACAAAGGATTTGCATA